CATGATGAATGAATACTGACTATTCTGAAGATTAGATTTTCTATTAATTAGACTTAAATTAAGTAGGATATTTACATGCTTAAGCATTCTGTTTCATCTTGGCGTTGGTATTGAGGCATCTGGGACAAATTAAATAGAAGAGTAATGATAGTGTTAGACAACTTCATGGGGCAGAATAGGCTCAATGTAAGTTAGCATATATGGATTTGTTGGGGAAATGAGGTGAGAATGTGAAAGTGATAATAACACGGAAAAACGAGGAATTATTTATAAGTGACGCAACGCAGGTTAGGCGCAACGAATAGACTTCGTCAATGTCGAGTTGATTGCAATCATGACCAAGCTCATACTATCTGTTGTGGATGGTGGGAGTAGACGTCGATTTTACCATATATTTTTTAGCACTCTGTTTTGCATATCCATTTCTAGTTATATATGGATAGAATAAGCAGTTTAATATGATGAAAACACCCTCCAGTAAAATTTACACTTAATTGCCTTATAATGCTCCGACCCGTTGTGGAAAAGAGACACACTAGAGTGAGGAGTAAATATTGTCGTATAACCGATTTAGAAAAAATATAGGTCAGCCCTTTACTGCTATGAAATTATCATATAATTCAGCGAACGAATAACGTTATCAAAGTCAACATAATTAACCAGTAATAGACATTAATTATCTATAATTGTATTTATCAATCATTTTTAACGCCGCCTTCATCAGGAAAAAATGCCTAGTTTGAATGAAGGACTACAACACCATACTTAAATATAAATAAACTTGCTTTGGATCATTAGGAAAAATGCTACTAGCCCGGTTGGTTGGAGAAATTCGGATATTCAGTCACCTGAGCCGTTACTTCAACGTATTTTTGTCAAATAGAACTCAAACAATCATGAAGACTTTGACAAAGTTCCTAGTTCATGGTATTAATAAACTCTTTTCAATGACTGTCTTTAATATACTGTTGGCTTCAGAGGCAGGATCAATGATCTTGATCCATCGGGGAGAATCTACTCTGCATTTTGGAGACTGAAGATATCCTTAAACCCGCAAACACCGCTCCGGTTTAAAGAACTTTTGGCAACCTGGTCCTGCATCTTTGGAGCATAATCCCAGAAGGCACAACAATAACAATGCCAAAAATGTGTATTTAAAAAAACATATTTACCGTTTAGTCATTTGACAGGGGCATTCCCTATGTAGCGACTAATGGGCAAGTGACTTAAGCCAATTACTAAAGCATGGATTCTTACCATAATGGGCTGCCGTAGAAGCTGGTTAGACCGCCTACGGGTACATCACGTTTCTCGTGTACTACCATATCTACGAGGCCCATTGGCACAGAGATTTGCCAACAAGTAGATCTGAAACAAATAAGAATAGGGTTGTTAGGGTTAGATAGGAGACCTAGAGTTTAAAAAACCCGCCTAGAAAATCTATTCGAGACCCGCCTACGTGAAAGAACCCTAAACTACCAAAGAAGAAGGCATTGGCAGCAACCAACGTGGAGCCACCTAGGGCCACGAAGAGTGTTTTCAGTACTCCAAAATTTTTACGGTTCAGCTGTCTTAACGTAAACATACACGTTAACCAGCACTTTCTGAAACCATGACGGCTAATAGTATCTACAGGTCAAGATTTTTTCTACTTTATGTGACAAAGCTCCTCCTTCAGAAACATCGCAGATAAAATACAAAACAAATGATAGAGAAAGCATAGAAATTGAATTTATAAAAGGATTTGAGAACAACATGCTTGGAGTGTTGCTTCAAGACGGGTTGATGAAGCGAAGGTGTTCATAATCGGCTACGACGGGTAATATACTTAATTGGCAAACAATAAAGCAAGCAACAAAGGGTAAACTTTGATGATAATTCTACTCTATTCATACGTTCTTAGACGGATTACAATGGATTATAAGCAAATATTTAAGAGATAGTAAGAAAACTCAATAGGAAATAATAGAAGTGAGATGCCTCAGAAATAAAAGTTGATTTGGTAAGTTAGTGAAATACATTGACCTAGATGTTAGGTCCCAAACTCAGATTACTTATTTTTCGTATTAAAGGAGAGTTTCGAGACTACCAGTAAATCATTAATATGAAATGTATTCACCCAATTTCGTTTAGGATGATAAAGGACTGGTAGTAGAATTTTCTCACAATGATATGAGCAGAGCTGATGTTTCCACTAAATTTCATATAACCTCGTTTTCCCAAATGTTGTTCTTATACCAGTCCCTTATCACATTAAACGAAATTGGGTGAATACATCTCCGATTACTTAGGCAAAATTATCGAGTTTTACTGATCATAAATCACAAATTGTCGAGGAATTGATAAATAGGAGGAAGGATAAGGAATTGCTTAGATATGGGATAACAAGATTGCACAAGATCCAACTAATTTGAACAAATTATTAAATATTTGTAATAGCAGCATTCACTACTTCAAACGACGATGAGGATAAGATAACAATGCGCTGGTTTGACCTCGTCGCAGCCGTAAAAATACCTTTTGGAATGTAGTTAGTTCTATATCCTCTGCCAATGTCCATGATGATTTCCATCATCAAACGGATGACTTGGTATATTCTCACATGTTTCGTCGTCATCGTCAGCAAGAGATGCCATCCATAGCATGAAGTTACAACCTATAAATTGACAAATTGTGCACCTAACAGGTACAGAAGTGTTGGTAAGTTTTGACGTCCAATTCCTATACAGAAACATCGCAAAAGAGAAGGCGGTAAACGCTTTGCCACAGATTTTGCAAAAAGAAAATAACCTAGAAACAGAGCTGACACGCAAAGTGTGGTGAA